TATAAATATACACATACATATACACATACTTATTTATATATGTATGTGTGTGTGTATATGTTTGGTCACTTACCCCATCACATTGCTGCTGGTCAGTCACATTGTTGTAACCAAAGAATAAGAGAGGAGAGGGGAAACAATTAAACACGAGACAAACAGGTTGCCAGGTAAAATGTATCATACACTTACTTTAAAGAGCCCACATTGTGCTAATTTAAAGCTTATAAATGCTAACTGGTGTGATCTATACGCTTTGAAGTAAAAAAAAAAACACTTCAATTTTCTCACTTTAATTTTAACACATCAAATCTCATCACTTTTAGTTTCAATGTCTCATTTTAGTTCATTCTTTGTGGTGTGGAGAAACAACCAGAAGAAAAATATATTGTAAAAAAAATATTGAAAATAAAATTGAAGTTTACTGTGTTTATAGAGGTTTTTTTTTCTTCCCATCATCAAAAAAGTTAAATAAATTAGACTAAAAACCACCAAATAACATAATACAACATATTTAGAGGTGCAATCAAGTATATTTCTACAATTAAATGAAGTAGGTTACAAGAATAAATGATGTGACTGACGTGAGGGCAAAGGCCACCAGCGCTCCCACCACAACGATGAAGTCCAAAATGTTCCACATGTCTCTGAAGTAGGAACCATCATGCAGAATCAGGCCCTGGTCAATCATCTGAAGACAACACAGCCACAAAGTAAACCAAACAAGTGGATTACAAACATGATTCATGTTTGTGACTTCAAGGCTAAGACTAGCCACAAGCTGTAAAACCTACATTTCAAATTCACATTTCTGATGTATAACAAACAATATTTTAAAATCTATAAAACTTCCTTCACTTTGCACATTCTTACCTTTATGATCATTTCAAACGTGAAGACTCCGGTGAACACGTAATCAAAATAGCGTAGAACCTGTCAAATTGATCAGAAAAAGAGAATAACAGAACAGATATGATGTAAATCAAAGGGGATGCGGTAGCTCAGTGTTCAGTGTCAGTGTTGTAATCCTGAGGTTGCGGGTTCGAGCCCAGGTTGCGCCAGGAAGGGCATCCGGCATAAAACAAATTGCCAAATCTTTCATGCGAGTTTGCTTGCTGTGGTGACCCCTGAAGAAGGAAGCAGCTGAAATAAACTTACTATTTGATATAAATCAAAATACAAGGAAGCAAGGTTTCCCACCAGACAGCAGAACATAGACAATGAGTCGAAGGTTATTTTCACTGAAATGTTTTAGGATTGGCATCTTTCAAACCGTCCCACCCAAGCTGCTAGTAACTAAAATACATTTTGATCCTCCATTCACTTTAGATGCTCAGGTCAAACCTTGGATTTTTCAGCTTAAGAGAATAAAAAAAGGGGGTCTCAACTTTAGAATCCGAAATCTTTCAAATTCTACACACAGCTGTGAACCAACACGTCAAGACTGAAGATTGTGGATGATCCCTCTCCTAACATGTAGGATTTTGATCTGTGGGAGGTAACCGAAGCACCCAAAGAAAACACTTCTGCCTTTTATTGAGTCACTCCGATCCCCAGAAGAGAATTTGTGCAGCGAACCAAACACAAACCTTGTTCCAGTCAGAAGATGCAGCTACAGGGTCCTCTGCAGCCAGGGCGATGCTACTGGCAGCTATGACCAACAGGATAGACATTTCAAAGTATCTGAGGTTCACCACGTAATGACACGCTCGGCGCACCCTGAGTCACAACAAAGAGGAAACCATGTGATTTAGAAAACGGCAAACTTTTCCCCCCCTCACAAAAAATATGTGTATACAAATTAGATCGAGTTGAAATGTATCAAATAATTTAGACACCATACACATGAGAGGCTGAAGAAACAAAGTTGATGAGCATTAAAAAAATGTTTTTATGCTGATTATTACAAGTTGAGGAAATGCTCAATATGGGTTCCACTAACATGTTTAAACCCCATTGTTTAATTAAACACTAATGTGGAAATTGTTTATTGGATTATTAAATCGTGGTAACACTCTAGAATACATTTTTAAAATACTCTGGTCTGAAATTTTTCTGAAAACATACCCTGCAAAGAGCCCCATCCCCTATAATTTATAAATCGACACATTTCTTAAAGGTGCACATTCCACCAGGGTCAGAAAATATTTTCAAAAGTCTAATATTGATTCTGTGAGACGTGCAGTGATAGCAGTAACTTACGGGTTGTTAGGTTTGAAGATGAACATGTTGTCAGGGTTCACAGTGTTGGCAGGCTTTGTTTCTTCGGACTCCTCCTTCTCAGATTTGCAGGATTCAGGGTCCTTGCTGTTGACTAAAGAAAGTCCGGTGTTAAAGTTTGATCTTCTTTATCTTCTTACGTCAAGGTTCTCATAAAGCCAAAGAACAAAGCAAAATAAAACTTCAGTTTTGTAAGAGATCACAGTGGGTGAAAACACAAACAGATTTTGTCGTGCGTCATAAAAATTAATAATCAAAAAAGCACCACCTGAAAAGCTTGTTTCAAGAAATATCTTACCAACATCTGAAAATCGTATATTTTTGCTCTTACCTGTGATCGTAGAGAGCTCAAGAGATGACTGCACGTCGGGCACCTCAATGACCGCACTGGAGCTGAGCTGGGACTTTTCTCGATTCTGCTCCGACTCCGTTTCTTCTGTCTTGCTCTCAGGTTTAGCAGGTTCAGATGGTTCAGATGGTTGTGAAGCCTCGTCATGTTTCAGAAGACTTGAGTCACCACAGGGGACGTTTTTTAGGTTACCGTCTCTTCCTTCACTTTGATCACCCTGCCTGTAACAGAGAGACATACAGGACAGATGAAGAGGAGAAAAAGATGTACAGAAACTCCAGTTACAAGTACTTGGTTGTACACCTGAACGACAACCTCAGCTGGGGCAACACCACCAGCCTGCTCAAGAAAGTACATCAGAGACTCTACTTCCTCAGGTGGCTGAGGTGAACTGGCCTGGAAAGCTCAGTCCTCACCTCCTTCTACAGGTGTGCAGTGGAGAGCATCCTGTGCTCCAGCATCAACGTGTGGCATGGAGGCTGCACAGCTGCAGAAAGAAAAGCTTTGCAGAGAGTGGTGAAGGCTGCACAGAAGTCTGTTGGAGTCAGTTTCCCCACCAGCACAGACATCTACACCTCCAGGTGCAGGAAGAGAGCCACCTGCATCATGAAGGACCCCACTCACCCAGCACACACACTTTTTGTCTTGTAGTGAACTTGGCCTCCGGTCAAGACCTGCCTCTGAAGACCTTCATGGGACAGGAACTGTTATTTCATTGATTTGAATCCAGAAATACAAATGAGCTCATCCAGAGACTTTCTAATTGTATCCTGAACTAATCAATTGAAAGAACACTCGCTTTTTTATATTATCATTACTATTTTACAATGTCTTGATAATCAAAAGTGCGTTTAGTTCAAATCATTTTTAAATGTTGAAGTGAACCACTCATTTTAAATCAACTGTGAAACAGTATTAATGATTTTTAATCCTCATTCAAAGTAGAAATCAAGTTAAATGTCTATGTTACAAAGTAATTATGCATTTTTGATCTTCTGTCTGAAATGAGAAAGGTGTGATGTCGGTCAAAAGTCGGAGACAGTCGCAAACAAGTTTATTGGAACGAACTGTCATGTTTTTAAACCTCTCAGACAGAAACAAGAAAACTGGCACCTGTAAGTCTGTCATTTCTCCAAAACATTTCTCTGTCTGTTCCTAAACATCTCCGCTGTTTTTCTGACATGTAGTGACCCTCTGACGTCACTAAAACCACACCCCTGTTGGTTCTTTCAACCAATCAGGACTTCCTAAAAGTGACCGGAAGCAGAACTCTTTAAAAGTCGACACTTCCTAGTTCCAGTTAGTTCTGGGGGAGAACAGAAGTTCCAAAGGTTCAGAACAGAGAGTTCTGCTGGAGGAGGTGAAGTCCACGGTGGTCTTTTTCTGAAAGATGACACCTGTCTGGAGTGTTGATTCAGGTCATCACGCCAAAGACCTATTCAACATCTCAGGAGTTCAGCACGTTTACTGAAATTCCACTTAACTTAATCCTATCTTTCGGGGAAATTTATTTTGGAAGCTGGGCCAGTCAGCCTCGTGGTCCCAAGTTGATGAGAAGCGGATATAAATCCCTGGAGATAAAAAGACTCAGCCTTGCTGGACGTCAGGAGAAGGCCTCCCTGAAACCCCACCAAGGTAAAGAGTCGACGCTCGGGTACCATCTAGCTGAAATCACCGGGAAACGTGCTATCTGGTTTCAAACAAGATAACTCCCCATCTTTTCTTTATTATCTTAGTTAACCCTAAGTATCCACTTTTCCTTCTTAAACTTTACTCCATCTCTTTATTTTTCTGCCAGTAAAGATAAGCTAAAGCCTGCAGACATTAATTTAAGATCTAAGGATATGTCTGTTGTTTCAAGCTGCAAGTGAGGAATCATGGCCGTATGATTTCTCATTGTAAAGCTCATTAATTAAGCTGTGTTATTGTAATCAATTATGCCAATCAATGTGTAAAATGTGTGAGGTGTTTAAATCGTTTTGATAAATAAAAGATCTCACTGTGTTGGTGGGTCAGAAATTTAAACACGTCTTTGTCCACATTTAATCTTCTAGGCACGATATTACTTAGTCCAGAAAAATGAAAGAATCCGTTTAAATTAAGTATAATATTATGTACTTGAATTAGTCCAGATATTATAAAATGTAAGAGAGCATCCCTGAGCTAAATCCATCTCTAGGTCCTCTCATTACAGTCTCGCTCCCCACAGGAAGGAGGTTAAGGAGCATTAAGTGTAGAACCACTAGACTGAGGAACAGCTTTTACCCTGAAGCTGTTAGACTCATGAATCTCTAACCAGAATAATTACTGTAATGCCACTTTAATTTGACATTTGACACTTTATACATGCTGCTGATTTCTTACCGGTAAGCTGCTGTATTCATACTCATCTGCTCGCAACAGACTCATGTTCAGGCTGCTGTTTAATATACTAAATTATTTTATATTATTACTGTTTAGCGTATATCTGAGATCCTTGTATACTGTTTCTTTTTTAAAGTTTCTTTTTTTTGCTTTTTTGGGTGTAACTGGGACCCTGTGTTCGTTCCACCTCATGTACCACATGTGATGCGAATGACAATAAAGAAACTTGAACCTTGAAATGTAACGAGCAGTCTGTGTAAGGATTGGTGTATTTTTAATTTTTGTTTGAGATTAGGTTTCAGTTAATTTCTGATCATTATGATGTTTTCTGTATTTTGTTATCTTGATATCTATTTATGTTATTTGTGCTGATTTTACCTGATCAGTCTGTATCATTAGTTCAGTTTTTCCTCATGCACCTCAGTCTTGCCACACCCACTCTCACATGATCCCATTTTGGTTATCAGCTCAAGTATTTTATTTATTTTTTGTTCATTAGCTCTAGTTTATTTATACTCTTTCTCAGTCCTACACTAATTATCTTCCGTTTCAGTCATCTGTATAGTTATAGCTGTTCTACTTTGTTTTTTGTGTGTGTTCTGGTGAGTTTTCTTTATGGTAGATTCTATTCAGCTTTTGTTTTTTCAAGTTTCTTATTAAAGTTTAAGCTTGTTCATTTTAAAATTCTCGCTTCCGTCTGCATCTGGGTCCATTTAAAAAACACCCCACAAACCTTGACCGTGACAATTTGAGAAACAATTTGACAATGACATGCTCAGCTCTTAGCTCTTGTAAGACACTATGTTATCTTTGTCACTGTTTGAAAAGGATTACACCCTACATACCTCAGAAACAGAATAAAGTGTTTGTTCTTGTTGCTTTACGAAATGAAAGTTGCGTTTGTTGCAACAAGTGAAGCACTGGATGGCTATTGCTGCAATGATCATTTGAAAACTCTTCAGATATTTTTTTGTTTCCTTTCACACACTGCAATAATTCCAGTTGTTTATCATTTACCTTACTGTGCACTGCAAAAAAGAAAGTTTGCAAAACATTCAAATTCTGTTTCTCGTTGAGAACATTTTTAAATACATCCATCCATCAGGCAGTAGTAGTACCATCAGGCAGCTGATACAGCAGCCTCCCATAGCACACTAAGCCACATCTGTGACACCCAATATGTTTATTGCTACTGCACTATGTGGCTGTATCATGTATGTATGTTATGTATGTCATATCTCATGCCATATGTGCCATATATCATGTATGTCATTACCTTACTGTCATAATTCAATTAATCTCAATGTTACTCACTACCTGTGCCATAACCTGTCACACAACCTGTGTAGTATATGTTAGTTATGTGCAATATATACCATGTGCATTTAAGCTTATATTAATACCTGTGAAATACATATTCATACAAATGAATCCTACTTGCACTGTTATATTCAACCATGCTGTTATTTACTATATTTCTTTTCCACTTTTT